TCTACCATTTAAATTATAGATTGTTAATTTCTTTGTAAGTGAGTGAATTTACAAAATCTGCAGGGGATCAAATACTTATTTCTTCCACTGTACATATTTATATTTAAAAAACATTTTTTATTCTTATTAATTTTAGCCAACTGCTTTGCACATTTCTGAACAATACTACTTATCCTAAAACTTTACAGCTTAGAACAGATATACTGCAACATTTTTAATTTTGTGTGTGTGTGTGTGTGTGTGTGTGTGTGTGTGTGTGTGTGTGTGTGTGTGTGTGTGTGTGTGTGTGTCAGTTGTAAGCAGCAGCAGGACCTGCTGTCATTCCTCGCTGTCGTTCTGGGCTTGGATAATCCAGCTGTCAGCCGACTGAGACTCACCTGGGAGGTATGACACACACACCTGACGCCGCATAAACACACCTGCTGTGTTTATATTATCCACCGACTGACACAGAAAACAAAGGGTGCAGGTGTTCTGCTGCTGTTATATTTAAGATTGAAATGTTTTTAAATAAGAGGAGACTGCTGACAAGGTTTATTTTGTCCATTTGGACTTGTAGTTTAGTCCTGAAACAAGTATCCTTAAATATATCATTACCTTTTTGTTTGCACTTGTACTATGTAATGACATGGTTTCTCTGCATTTGACCCATCCTAGTTTTAGGAGCAGTGGGCTGCCATTATGAACGGGGAGCAGTGTAGGGAACGATGCCTTGCTCAGGGACACCTCGGTACCACTTGGTCTTGCCGGGACTTGCTGGTGACCTTCCAGTTGCCAAGCCAAGTCCCTATGGACTTCGCCACTTATACCTGTTAAACATGATTTTTGTGTGTGTTCTCAGGGTCTCCCAGGGAAGTTCAGGAAGCAGTTTCAGCAGTTTGAGAGCATAGCGGTGAGTAGAAAAATAATAATATATATTTATAAATAAAGAGTGGTATTTATAAGGGCTTACCATGTTATTAAACTCTCAGTGAATTTTTCTCGAATTAATATTTTTTATAGATACTGTATGTCTTTTTCGCAACGTTACGAATTTAATCTCAAAATTCTACCTTTTTACCCCTCTCTACCAGCTCTTTACTTTCTGATATTCAATCACCTTAATATGCTTAATTTTATTTAGCTTATGTTTTGAATCCAGAAATGTAACTACTAGAACTAGTATCCGCGTGTTTCCCCCGAAGGGTATGGGTTATTCTACTGCAGTAAAGTACCTGAACACTTGTGATATTACAGGATCCCTCCAGGAACCACAAGTCCTACAGAGATCTGATCACCAGCCTCAGACCCCCTCTGATCCCCTTCACTCCTCTGCTGCTCAAAGGTGAGGCGGCACTAAACACATCTGGGCTTATGTAGACAGCATTTAGTATCAAACCAATGAAATGCCTCGGAACAGGAACAACATTGTGTTGCAATAGCGTCAAGACATTTGAGGGAACATTTTAAGAAGTTCAAGTGGGAACACGAGAAATTATCTAATTTTGGAAAGCTTTTAACTGTAAATGGCTTGAATTCCAGGAAATAGAACAACATTATGTTTAGACGATAAAAATCAGTAAAAATATCGCAAAAATATTTGTGCAAAACACAGAAAATTCAGAATTTAAATATTGCAAAAAATCCCAAGAGGAAATAAAACTTAAAACATCACACATATTTTGAGTGGTAACACAAAAAATTGGAGGTATTGAAATATTGTACAAAACATCACGTAAATGCTTAAATTTAGAAAATATAGTGCAAAAATACAGTTAAAACATATTTTTCAAATATCTCAAAACAGTGAAAACACAAAATACATCTTTATAGTCTTGAAATCTCTCTGATTACTATAAGTGAGTGAGTAACATAAGTTAGTGTATGGAGGAAAGATTTAGTAAATAAAACCATCTCATTATATCAGTGTTAAGTTTAAAATTGAAAATACTGCTGTATGCTCTCACACAACAACAACAACTGAGTTTCCTCAGTTCATTATATAATAAATAATAATAATACTTATTATTATAATGTATTATTATTTATGTATATATTATTTATTTATAATTTAGTTTTGTCCTCCAGCTGTGGAGCAGATGTGAAGCGCGTTAGCATGTAAACTCCTCCTCGCTAATTAGGTCTTCTGGCACACACACACACACACACACACACACACACACACACACACACACACACACACACACACACACACACACACACACACACACACACACACACACTTCAAACACTCCTCTTTATCGTCACTTCTCCTCTTTGCTCCACTACTTCATCTCTTCTTTCACTGCGACAGACACGCACACATGTATTTCAACACACAGACGCACACCGACACACACACAAGGAGCACATGCACAAACACACCCGTACAGAGATAGATACAAAAACTTGCACATCTCTTTCCTCAGCTTTTACTCGTTCAGTTTGAAAGGACCTTAAATAGGATTACTGTACACACTGTACGCCTCTTACTGTGTGTGCCTTAAGCTCCCTGTCTCCGTGGTTGTCTCCATGGTTACCAGAAAGGAGGAAAGGATGGAAATGATTAAAATGGTTCAAAGGAGAAAGAAGATGTGTGTGCGTGTTTGAGAGGGATCAAAATTTTCTTGCGTTCATGGCTCTTTAAAAAAAGATATATATACGTATACAAAGAAGTGCCCCGGGCTTTGAAAGCAAACCACCACCAGAGGGCAACATCTAATCTCCACCTGCTGACATTACTGATACATATCTGTTTCCTCCATATTTGATTTTTTAAATAACATTTTGATGCACATTTCAATCAAATCCAATAACAATCAACACTGCCAATGATTGGCTTAAGGTCTTTAAAAATCTTAAATATCCAAATGTCACAATCATCATATTTTCCCTAATGGAAAATTAAAGGAATTAAGAATACAGTTCCTTTGTGAAAAACTGAAATACTTTTTCCAAAAGGAAGAATTAAAAACACAAGGATTAGAAATACTAAAATACAATCACAGATTACATCTTGAAAAATGTTGTGATAGTTTTCTCCATTCGTCATTAATTGAATCAAGGACAGAATCTGAGATAATACAACCCTAAAGTGATTTAATTACGATAAACAGAAATTAGATGGTGTTTTTAGTTTTCACTTATCGTTGGATTCATGAATGAAGTGCTTTTTTTTCCTGTTTCTCAGACTTGACGTTTCTTCATGAGAGCTGTAAATCCTTTCACGGAGAACTGGTCAACTTTGAGAAGATGGTGAGTTCATTTCAATTGAAATAACTATTTAAATTAATATTGAGAAGAAATCCGTATATGAATGTTGTTGAACCTTTAAAGCAAGTACAGTGGTGTGCTTTTATTTTAAAGTAAGAGCCTTCCTCTTTGTCTGATAGTACATGTATATAAATATTATCCTGTTGTCGTAGCCAAATGTTCAATGAAGAAACGCCTGTGAGCCGTGGGGCTGCAGAAACAAATTGATTCGTTATTATAAACAAAATGAATGCATGATGAATAAATCAATATTCCTCTAAATTTGCCGAATAATATTAGAATAAAGGTAGGCTTTATTAAATGATTAAAGGGTAACTTGATCGTTTGTAATTTAAATGACTTCATACAAATTAAATGTTTTTACTTATTTTTGCATTTATGTATTTTGTCTTCCATCCTTTTCAAATAAAAGCTTTAACAGTAAATTGCCATGTCATCATTGTCAATAATAGACCTGATACAGTGAACATATTTATATTTCAATCAATTTTTTTCTTTTGTATTTAAGTAGTAGTGGTACAGGTTGTGCTATGTTAATCTGCACAAAATCGGAAAAAAACTGGAACATTTGTGAATTTGTCACATTTCATTTTTTATTTTGAGTGAGTCTAAGTTTGTGAAGTCAGACCTCAGATTTGAAATGAAATTAAATGAATGGTTCCGCTCCTCTTCCATCTCTCTGTTTCTCTTCTCCTGCAGCATAAAGTGGCGGAGATGGTGAGGATCATCAGGCGGTACCGGAGCAGCCAGCTAGGTAACTCACTCTATGTAAAACAGCTGATATTTATTAAACAAAAGAGAATCAAATGATATGATATCAAATTAAAATACATGTATTATAAAAAAAAAGTGTGTTTGTTGATGGATACTATTCTCCCATAATGCAATGTTAAAATAAAATGGAGGACAATTAAAATAGAAGGAATGGTTCCAAAAAGTCTCACCCAAAAGATGAGTTGGTTTGACTTCAAATACTTTTATTTCAAACGGAAAGTAAACTCCCTAAGCACACGTGTTGGACTTTGTTCATGCTGTAACATAAATAATTCATTAAGTGTTTCTAACTTCTGTGTTTTTGTCTGTATCTGTGCCCTGTGTCTTCCTGCGTCACCTGGTAGCCATGGATACAGAGACGTCCCCTTCCCACCTGCAGACAAAAGCGTACGTCCGGCAGCTGCAGGTGATCGACAACCAGAACCTCCTGTTCGACATGTCCTGCAAACTGGAGGCCAAAGACACATAGAGGGGGAAAAAGACGGGAGGGAGATAAGAGGAGGAGGAGAAAGCTGTTGTTCCAGCAATTCCTGCCCGGAGACAATAAAGCTAACGGATGTAGACAGTCAGAAAAAAGGAAAAGACGGAAACTCAAACTGGAACCACACTACATCCTTCTCTTCATCTTCTTCGACCTGGATCACAAAAAATGTCATTTGACTAAGACTTTGTTCTTGATCAGCCACATGAAGACAGTTTATCAAACTGGACCAAAAACTGGATACACAAAAAAAAAAAATCATTTTGTGATCCAATCAAAGTTCGAATTTGAAGATGCTTGACCCAAACAAACGGAAAAGTCAACAGTCTTTTTCAACAAGTCTTGGAAAAGTCTCAATGTATTACGGCTGCAACTTAAGAGTCATTTTAGCTGAGGAAGGTTTCTTTTTGTCCTCAGGAGGAACCACATTTTCACAGTGTCCCGCCTCTAGCGCTGTATCCAGTTCTCTTTGTACATCTTTGGAAATGACCCGCAAGTACCTTAATGGAAGCCATGATAAGATCTGGGGGAATTGTGAGTGCTAATGGAAGCTGCCTCAATGCTCTCTTATCTCTTTTAGCATAGGACCATATTTTAGGAGAGGAAATAAGATAATGTCATTCCACAGTTCCTTGAAGCAGCAACACATAAAGCAAAGCTCATCACTAACATCCGCTGAGACGTAAATACTTAACCTAGTGTGGGTGCAGAGGGATATCTTCTTTTACTATGTCCAAGGTTAAAGAAGAGCAGATAGGGTAGTGTTTTTGTACTACTTGTCTGCAGTTTTTATCGTCTTTTATTCATGTCAATATGGTACTTTTGGAAGGATGTATCTCGGATCTACACAAAGACGGCTGTATTGGGTAGTTTTTGGCACCATCCACCCAACATCAACAAGACGCTGCACTTCAAATAGATGACTTGTTGATCCAACGTGTTGGGAAGCATGTTGGAATTGTTTTTTACAACCATAATCCACACAGGAAAAGAAAAAAAACGTCCATGTTGAAGAACATCATGCAGACGGATCGATTCTTTATCCAACAGATGGCGCAATTGTGAAAGTTTGGTTCTTCAGGATATTTTAGGATGCATTACACCAAGAACCTGTTTACACCTGGATTCAATGTGTTTTGGGAGATTGGATCAATAGAACCATTGGGTCGTTTGACATGTCTTACGTAGTGTAAAAGCGTTCTGATGAGTCTTCAACAAAGACGAATCAGGGAACAACTTCATCAGAGCTGCGAGACGCTTTCTAAGGCCAGGTGTAAATAGGGCCTTTATCTCTTCAGTTACAAACAGAAACTAAATCATTCTAGTCCCTCTGAACCTTCGTAGAGACCAGTTTGATCGCTGATTGAATCAGTCTACTTCAAACGTCGCAAGTTTACGCGCAAGACTTCTGCGCTCCGAAAAACTGGATTTCAGGTCTGACTATATTTTTCCATCAGATTTACAAACTCTTTAATGTTTAATAAAGGGCACAACGGACCTTGTGCATCTGGCACTGAACCCTCAGCTACGATGGATTGTATCCATGGTCTACATCTGTGGTATTGCTGACCTCTGATCTGTGGTTCCTGTCAGCTGCCATATCCCACACAGAGCTGTCAGGAACTGGGTTGGTTTTATTTGATTCCTCCGTGATTTCTCAGACTTACTTGGATCCCTTGATAGGAGACGTTTCTCAGAGGATGTTCAGGATGTTTCCTCGCTAGTTGAGTGTGTAGATGCTGGTTTTCTACCCAACGTGATCTTGAGTGTTATGCTGAAGACGTCAACTCTTTGCTCTTTTCTGCTTTTTGTTCCAGGTCTTTGATGACACACATGAAGTGTCACTTTACAGTGTTTGAGGATACAACCAATCGGTTGGAGAATTCACGTCGCACTCGCTTTAAAGGACCATACCGCTGTTTTTTTTTTTCTACATGTTTGAACCATTTGACAAAAAATCACGTACACACTGCCAAAGCAATACTCCGTGATTATTTTTCCAATATGGTGTAATTCCTTTGAGACGGCAGCAGCTATTATTTTAAGAAAATTGTCATGCAGGGATAGTTTATCAGTATATATCGCTAGCGTCAAACATATCAATCGATAATTCAAATAAAAAATATGTCAAAATATGAGATTCTAGAGAAAGATATACAGACTTTGTCTAATAGAGAGGTTAAATGACCATCTGTTACAAATGTGTTCTTAAGCTATTATGAGGATAAACATTTAGCGTGCGTATCTAGAAAACATAGACACATTCACAGAACAACAAAGTAAAAAAAACGAATTAGGTTTTGTCTTGGTAGACGCAGCGAAATTAAGTGAAATCGATAGGCAACGTTCACCATAAGATACAATTAATCAACAAATTAAAGGACTTTATTTTAATTCATAATAACTAAACCTTTTGAATTAAACTTTCTAGGTAAAGTAGCTAGAACATGCTAAACTAGAATACCACCCTTGATAGATCTGCGCCAATGGTGCATTCAGTTGTCCTAAAGATGGTCCTATTCCGCAAGTTTGGAAGTCTTTTTTCCGACTCTGGTGTGATCATTACATTATAACAAACAACAACACAGACCCTTTAAAGGAGACGTGTTTTTTTTGTTGCTCAGAGCGGCTAAACCATACTTCAAAATCAGTCTTCAAGTAGTTCTTTAGTCAATTAATTTCCCAAATCATTTGGACACAACTTGGTTAAGTGTATTGTATGCAGTATATCCATCTGGTATTTTGGATAAGACAAACAAACTGAAAACATGACCTCCTTTGGGAAAAGAAACAGCTATGGTCCTTTTTAATAAAGTGACTGAAAATGCTAATGGATGGATGGAACTGATAACCACAAGGCAGCCAATCAGCCGTGTTTACAGGACAGAATTACTCCAGGGAGATTAATACAAATTTACGAAAGAGTCGACAGAAGAAACTGTTTTATTCTTCCTTTTTTTCTCAGCGTTTGGGATCTAACTGCTGTCACATTTTAATGACCAATCGGCTGTAAGGAAGGACTCGATCAAAGCTGCCATGCCATTGCTTCGTTCTGTTGGCAATAACAGGAATTGGAGCTTGTTGGTCAACCTATCGCAGCAACAAAGCACTTTTGCCAAACCTCAGGGCTCAGAGACACAGAGAGGTTTTGTTTACTCTTTATGCTAGATTTTCATTAGAGTTCAGTTGAGTCCAGTTGTGTTGCGATCGATTGGTTCCGTGTTTTTACAGCTGATCACACTTCAGTCATATTTACTATAATAATAGAAATCTACAGAGTTGTTGTTTTTCTGCTGTGATCACCACCAGAGGCCTGTACGACGAAGCCGGTTCAACATAACCTGGATATGTTTGAGTTACCCAGTTTACCTAATCCAAAACAAACGCGCTCTCGCCAAGCGGTCCTACGACGCTGGTTATCAACTCGTTAACTCAAGCCATCTTTGCCCTATCTAGTTATGTGCGCGTTCACATAAAAGTGGCGGGTTAGCCACATTGGACCAATCGCAAACATGGAGAAGCGCACTGACAGCGCAGCGTCATACTTCCTGACAAATATGAAGACTTTAAACATCAATGACACACTTTATCCAGGATAAAAGCCACATAGCTGCACCTGCAAGGTGAATACAGCTGGTAAAAGAAAAAGTGTTCTAATGCGTACATTAACATGTTTATGATATCACTGTCTAAGACACGATCTGACTTTAATTACATTTGACTCGAGTGTTTCGTCAACTTAATGTGTTGCTTAAAATAATACTTCTGCATACAGTATGTGACACTGAGTGTTCCACGGCCAGATGCGGCTCAAGAAGCTGACTCAGATAAGGAAATATATGATACATTATGATGTGATATGATGTGATAATGGGACACATCGACGTCTGCACTCACAGTGGAACGGACTGTAGGCTACGTAATGTTACTTTGATCCGGTTACTTATGTTGTGGCAGATATTTGATAAAGCTTTCTTAACATAATAGTATAATAATAGTTATAATAGTCAGATTGCTCTGAAGATGGGAGGTGATATTCTATTCATTTTCACGTTCACACAGTCGGTGATTTTGGCTGGCCGTCTTTCCTGCAACGGCAGTTTAAACTGTATTTCCTCCGCACACTGAGCTCTGATTGGTCAGCAGGCGGTGCTTTCACTGAGTTGATCTCTTATCCTGGAACCTATCCTGCTCCGGCGCAGGCTAGCCGCTCAGCATAAGTTATCTATCCCGCTAAAAAGTGAACCAGCTTCGTAGGACCGGAAATCCCTGAAGTTAGCTTGCTAAACGAAAATGCTGATTCGTAGTATAGGCCCCAGGCTAGCCGTTCAGCACAAGTTACCATGGAGATCTAGCCCGCTAAGAAGAGAACCAGCGTCTTAGGACCGGAAACCCAGAGTTTTCCCTGAAGTTAGCTCGCTAAGCGAAAATCCGGCTTCGTAGTACAGGCCTCTGGTCTGAGTCCAGCCTGAACACTGACACATTGTTTTGGTTAAGATTTTTTTTATTATTTGCAAAGCACTGAAGAGTTTCCCTCTAAGATGTTGTACATATTATATATTAAGAAACAAATATTAATATATCATGTTGCTAATAATCAGCTGCTCAAAAACATACTTTTTTAATGATAATATAATAATATTTCAGAAAACAGTCCTTGCGATGATGTACATTTATAGAATTTTGCGATTTTATGATTACACAGTCATAATGTAATTTTATCATATGCCTAATATTATTTCATAATATGCACATTCATGCGTAATATTTAATGAAAACGTTGAATTTAATTGCGAAATAAACTTTTATAGGATTAAAAAAGTAATTTGTCATGATGAAGTCATTTTTTATAAAGAATTCCTAATGAGATAATTTTTTTAAACTTATTGAAACATTTCAGGTGCATCAGATTCTCTAACTATATAGAACAAGCAATACCACAAATATCATGCACAGTAAACTTGAATTATGAATAATTTTAGAAATAATAACAAATCAGACTTAATAAATACAGAAATAATGTGTTAAGTTTAATTCATACATTTGAAGTATGTCATTCTAGAAATAAACTAAAAGTTGTATTTTGAGATAAAATTTGAATGAGGAAATTATTATTATATTATACTCTTACTTCCAACATGAACTGACCCTTTATCACAACAAATATGTAGGCCAGCTTCCTTTCAATTTTAATTTTATTTAAGAATTTCCAGTTGGATAAGTTAAGCTATATTCATTAAGACGTCCAGTCAATATTTTGCTTTATGGTTGGGCTGAAACTCTTCAGTGCGTCCGAACGGTGCACGTGTTTGTATACATTTTCTGAAAAGGTGTAAATGGTTTTAAAAGTGTTCTCTGTGCTCCGCTCTGGTGGCAGTGAGACTTTGTCATTCTCCATATGTACCATAACATCCTGTTTGTGAGAGCTCAGCGAGGCCGACCCCTTCACGAGACAAGTCCGCCTCGTATCCACGTCAGAAAAAGACTCAACAGTTCAGCTTTCAGACCCAACAGCATCATGAAAGTCTAATTTCTTTTAAAGTAGTATTTTTTGTTGTTTGGGAAATGTATGGACAGAATGAGACCATTTTGAAAAACAAGATGATTTATATAAAGAGTAACACTAAGCTGAAAATCCTTGATTTATTGAGTTCTTTCCTCGCTATTTTACAGCATTTCAATTTTTTTTAATGATGTGTGAACTGAGGCGGCTTGAGAAACGATTCTAGAATTTGCAAGAAACAAGTTTAAACTCCCCAGTACACAAATTGGTTGGAACGGCAAACATTTTTGAAAACAAAAACTTTCTAGAACATGTCTTCAATTATTCGGGAACAATAGTTAAAGATTCGAGAAGACAAGTTGGACTTTAGAGAACGGGAGTTCAATCTTTTGATAAAACTAACAACATTTCAAGGATGCAAATTTAAACTTTGATTAAGATAAGAGTTTGAACTTTGCCAAACCTAATACAAACTTTCAAGAATATGCATTCTAACTTTTGAGTACAAGAGTTTGACTTAAATGTGGGGTAGGTAATTCACTTCAGAAACACTTTTTGTTATATTCCATGGAATGCTCTTAACATCCCGATAGCAATGAATAAATTAAATGCTTTGACAATAAAAACAGTTAATCTGTAGAAGCCGTGGCGCTGTAAAAAGCACGACCAATCATCTGAGCCGGCTTGGCTAAAATAACTGGATGGCCTACCTGCCTGTCAGCCTTCCATCTCGTGCACAAACGTATCTCGTGCCCTCATTGGTCATGTGCACGTTCGTGTGTGTTGGAGGAGGGGCTCTGTAAGGAAGTCTGAACGAAGGGGCAGATTTTTTTCTGCTGCGTACTTTCAAATTCTAGCGCACTCAAGCTGGTTTCCCCACTCTTACCTACCCTACCTTTAAGTGTTCTTAAGTTAAAACGTTCAAGAACACTCGTTCAAACTTTCATAAAGACGAGTATACACCTTGGAAACCAACATTTTGAGAACCAGATTTTGTGTACACAATTTTGAACTTTCAATGACACCCGTTTCAACTTTCTAGAAGATGTGTTCAAACCAAGGAGAGGACGAGTACAAACTTTCGAGAGCAAGAGTTTGAACATTTAAGCGTGACTTATTTGTAGAACATGAAAACGTTGTTTAAAATCCCTTACTGAGTCTGAGATAGAATACGTTTTCAGGACTCTATATTTGCTGTTGAGAAGTTTGTGTTGGTTTGGTCGGCTAAAACGTGTAAAACCCAGTGAAGATGACCTCAGCACTAGTCTGCCGGTGGCTCTCTCAGGACCACTTCCTGGGTGATGGGCGCTTTACTATTAGATCCCGCCGTAGTTTTGGGCAGAAACAAAAGTCTTGAATCCCAACTGTCTCTAATCCTAACCTATCGTCAACGTTTCAAATCACCTAAACCGACCAAACCTTCCAGATTTCTGACCTTTTGCAGCTGCTGCCTGTAATTCTGCTGAGATCTATCATTTTTGGAGGCGGACGGTCTCTTGGGTCGAGGCTGTCTGCTGTGCCCGCATTAAAACACTGAATAATTAAACAAGTGTACATACTGCAACCATGTAAATAGGCAAATACTAACGGAGACTCTATTTTATGTATCAGCTGAAAGAGAGTGATGCTTACTCGATGAGAAATATTTGATTTGATGTTTTTTATTTGTAAAGGGAAAATGTACAGTGACGACAGAAAGGGAAAGAAATGATGATGAATATATGACTTTATGAATTGTACAGTTTAATCTCTTCAGTTGGATTGTTCTGTTGTTTTCTATCTAAAGCTTGGGGTTGTTTCGGTTTATTTTTTGTACAGAAGTCGTTGTTTACATCGATTACAAGTCTTTCTTTAAGATTTCTGTGAACGTCAGACAAACGGAGTGATTGGAGCCAAGGTCTGTGAGGAGACGGGGCTTGCAGGGTTGGTGTCATATTACCGAATATTATGGAAAACTACAAAAAGGAACATTTGGAATAAGGTCATTCTATACAATAAATATACGGGCGAGTTATGAGGACATTACATTCTGAGATTTATATAGGCCTACGCTATGTTATAGTGTTCTTTTATTTTTGACTAACAGTTTATAGTATTTCGAGTCACACAAAGTTGTAATTTTATTTGTAAACTCTATTAAAGTTTTTTTTATTTGTAAAGTTTTTTTATTTGTAAACTATTAAAACCATATTTGACAATACATTGCTCATTTTATTAGGAAACAAAGCAAGTTCAAGATTTCCTTTGAG